TAGAGAAACAGAGTTAAAAAGACAGGATATTATTCTATACTCACATAATACACAAGTTTGATCCAGCAGGCCAGCTCTGGACAGGTTTCAAAAGAGATTTAATCAAATAGTTCCAGGAATAAGGGATTACAGTTACACAGAGAGCTGGAGTTGTTCTTCTCAGAGTTGAGAATTTGAAAATGAGATTTAACCGAAATCTTTAAAATCACAAAGGGTTTAGATCGAGAAAATAAAGAGAAACCATTTGCAATTGTTGAAGAGTTAATAACCAGAGAGTATAGATTGAAGGTGACTGTCAAACTATCAGAGGCAACAGGAGGAAATGTTTCTTTATGCAATGAATGGTTAGGATTTGGATAGTAATGCCTGAGAGTTGGTGGATTCTGATAACTACATGAAAGATAAAAATAAAGCTGCAGTGGTATGGAGAAAGAGCAGAAAATGAGACTGACTGGATTATTCGTTGAAAGAGCCGGGACCAAATTTTAATATTGAATTTACAAAGATTTAATGGACTGAATGGTCTCATTCTGTGTTGTACTGTTCTATAATGCTGTGATTTAAAACCCAGTTAACCCAGCCTCTTCACAAGAATAACCTTTCCTCGGAATTTAAACGTTCGGAGAAAAAGCAGTGAAATTTTGATGTAAACAGGTACTGTCTTGGAATGCAGCCCCCTCCAGCAGGCAATGACTATTGCAAATTCTTTAAGATCTGGACTTTTAAGGATAATTTTTGTTCTCTGATTCTAAAATAACAACATCAACATAAAATTACAGGGATGACCAAAAAATAGCTTGGAAGGTAGGTTTTGAAGAGGACATATGGAGTCAACAAAAGGAAATGAATAAGTCAAGTGACTGCAAAGATCTGACAAATGGAGTACAATGTAGAAAAGTGCAAATTTGTCCATTTTGCCAGAAAGAAAAAAAAGAAACATGTTATCTAAATGGCGAGAGATTGCAGAGCTTGGAGATGCAGAGGGACCGAGGTGTCCAAGTGCAAGAATCACAGAAGGTTAATATGCAGATACAGCAAGAAATCAGGAACAGGGATAGAATACTATGGTTTACTGTGAGTGGAATTGAATGCAAGAGCAAGGAGGTTATGCATCAGTTATAGATGGTATTGGTGAGACTGCATCTGGAGTCCTGTGTACAATACTAGACACCATATTTTCAGAAGGATGTTAATGCATTGGAAATTGTTCAGGAAAGGTACTGGACTAATACCATGAATGAGCAGACTGCCTTATGAAGAAAAGCTAGACAGGCTAAGCCTATATCCTCTGGAGTTTAGAAGAGTCAGAGATTCCTTAATTTAAATGTATAAGACCCTGAGGGGACTTGACCAGATAGATATTGAAAGCAGATTTCCTCTTGTGGGAAAATCTAGAAGTAGGGGTCATAGTTTAAAAATAAGGATATTGCATTTAAAACAGAAAAGAGGAAACTTTTCTTTCCTCTCAGAGGGCAGAGTCTTTGAAATTCCATTCCTCAAAAGGTAGTGGATACAGAATCATTCAATAATTTAAAGCCAGAGGTAGATAGATTATTGATTACCAAGGGATGGAAATTTATAGGGATAGGCAGGAATGTAGAGTGGAGGTGAAAATCAGATCAGCCATGATCCTATTGAATAGCAGAGCAGGCTTGAAGGGACTGAGTGACCCACTCTAGTTCCTTCTTCATATGTTCCCACATGCTTTCACTGTTCTACCTGGGAAAATGAAAAATGGACTGTTTCTGTGGAAGGGAAACAGCCTTAAACTCCTGGTGGAATGTAATTTGGCAGACAGCATCAATCTGGGCCACTCCTCTTCCTGCATTAAGGCTTCTTTTCCTCTCAGTGAGTGGGGACATAACACGAGGTCTGGAATTTCTCCAGAATTTGGCTCTTTCATCATAGCTTTGCAGGAGGCATAATTTTCAAACTGGTTTACACCATCATATTTAGCCAATGCTTGTATACTCATGCCACTCATTTCAACATGTTGCAATGTTTTTGTAATCACAGCGACTGAGAAACAACAAGTGAATACCTTCATGATACCTTCCTAAAATTGGTCTTTGTTCTATACAAACAAATGATATTTGGGAAAAGCAGGCTTCCTGAAGCAGTTTCCTTGGTTCCTTTCTGCACATGGTAAAAATTCAAGTACAAGAAGCATTGGTTTTCACAAAATGAAAATGATAATGAAAATTGACATAATTATTGCGCAGCAGCTCAAGGTATTCAGTAATGGAGCTGCTCAGAAAATCTCCTAAGAAGCTAACAAACAATAGAAAGGCAGCAGACTTTCAGCTTTCCAGCTTAACTGCATTGTTTCCAGTGTTGTAGTGCTCAAGGAGAAGCCTTTTATTTTTTTGTTTAAATGCTGCAGCATTCAATCGATAAAAGTGCTGTGCCAAAATTTACTGGCTCTTGTCTGGATTGAATGAATTTAGTTGCAGGATTCATCATCTAGAAAGGAGAAATATCAAAAGCGCCCACACACCTTGCAGCACTGCATTAAGTGCAGTCCACTTGAGTCATAGGCCTGTGCACTCTATCCCTGTGTCTCTTAATGACCATCACCCACCGACATACTCAGAAAGCTGCTTTGCAAAATTGCTGGAATAAATTTGGGAAAAATACCAAACGTGGTAAAACTTCTCCACTTTCTGAAGTACAATTATTTTTCTTTTATCAGATTGCAACATGAACAGCAGAGTAATGCACATAAAGGAAACAATAGTTTCAAAGCTGGAGGGAACTGAACTGCTGTAAACCATTTTCTCTTTACCCAGTTTAATGAGCTGAAAAGTATTGTCTTTTTCAGTGTAATATATGCAAGCATCTTTTAGCGTTAAAGTTAATTCCTCTTGAATTTGCAATATTTCAAGTATAAAAATTACTGATCTCGAAAAGAATTTACAAAAGAAAAAATATTCAATACTGTAGAAGAAAAATATTGAAACTTCGATCTTAATTTGAATAAAATACTTGATTTGAGAAATATAAAATCAGTGACTAAATACAGTGCAATTAAAAATCTGATCGAGTCACTAGATCAGTTCAGTTGTTCCTCCTTTTCTTATAACTATCTGCTTTCATGAAATCAGTTACAATTTACCAGCATGCAAACACAGTAAAAGGAACAACATACCTTAGACCCTCTTTCATTAAAAATTATCTCAACATCTAAGATTTTACCAAATTGCTGGAAAGAAATAATAAAGATTTCCTTTAGTACCAAGTCGTAACGTCATAACATCAAATCACCTTGTGATTGTTGTAACTTTGAGAATTACAATTAAAAGTACCAATACATTCAATTACAAAAACATGTAACAGGACTTGGGCTAAATCTATTGCTAAAACCTTTCTCTTGTACTTTCTTTGCATTTGACAACACAAATGAATGGTTGGTGCAGTTCCTGATGCGTTGGCAGCCCCCTGACTATCTTTGTATATTCCTCCCGCGTGCATCTAGCTGGAGAATATGGTCACAATATATGACTTGGGTGGCAATCTCAGCCAAGTATGGTTACAATTTTGTCTTCTTCCTCACATACACCTTGAAACTACTGGTTAATAATTAGGATGGAAACCATAACTGGTGCTTATCTGTGCTGCTAATACTTATTCTGACAGCCCAATCACTGTCCGAGTGCAAAATACAGTTCTATTTCAGAAATACAAGAATCTAATGGGTTACTTTGCAAATTGAAAAGGCCACTTAATACCTAAAGGTCACCAGGTAAAGATAAGCACTAGTCTCTAACTTCTTCATAGTGTTCTTAATTAATTAATGTTAAAACAATTCTTTCTGACTTCTTTTATAACAATTCAATACTTAAAGCACTGTTCACCATTTGTCCTCCTTATGAAGAATTGCTGAATAGTTATCAGCATTTCACAGAAATGTTTTAAGGTGAATGATAAAGCAAGTAAATAATATCTTCTATAGAAAGTCAGCAGATGTAGAAGCATCTGTGCAGACAGAAACAAATTTAACACTTTGAGCCTGAAACCACTTTTCTAAGATTTCTTTTACATCGGTGTTAGAGGTAATCCAGAGATGATTCATTAGTTTGACACCAAACATCAAGGAATTGTTTTATGAGAGGTTGAATAAACTATGTTTGTACTTGGTGGAGTTTAGTTGATTGAGATGCAAGTTTATTGAGGTAAATGAGATTCTTTGGAGACTTGACAGGGTAGATATGGAGATGCTATTTCCCCTTGTTGATGGTCTAGGACCAGAGTGTAGAATCTCAGAATAAAGGGTTGCCCATTTAAGACAGGGATGAGAAGGAATTTCTTCAAAAGGATCGTGCATCTGTGGAATTTTTTCCCACAGAGGACTGTTAGGGTTGGATCAGTGAAAATATTTAAGACTGAGATAGGCAGACTTTTAATAAGTGAGGGAATCACTGTTTACGGGAATAAGTCCGGAAAGAGGAGTTGAGGATTATCAGATCAGCCATGATCTCATTGAATGCTGAAGCAGACTCCAGGGACTGAATGGCTCACTTCTTCTATGTTTTATAGCCTTATACTTTTTTCATTCATGGGACATGGACGTTGCTGGCCAGGCCAGTATTTCTTGCCCATCCCTAATTGCCAAGAGAGCAGTTAAGAGTCAACCACATTGCTGTGGGTCTGGAGTCAGATGTAGGCCAGACCAGGTAAAGATGGCAGTTTCCTTCCCTACAGGGCATTTGTGAACCAGATGGGTTTTTCTGACAATTGACAATGGATTCATGGTCATCATTAGATTCTTAATTCCAGATGTTTATTGAATTCAAATTCCACCATCTGCCTTGGCAGGATTTGAACCTGGGTCCCCAGAACATTATCTATGTCTCTGGATTAACAGTCCAGCAATAATACCACTAGGTCATTGCCTCCCCCCGAATTGCTACAGATAAAATTGCACAATAAATGCCAACCTGGTAGAATGTAAGACCCAACATTAAATGGGTTGTTAATTAATTTTTGTAATTAATTAATCAATAGAAACAGGATAAGGCAAGGAAGCATCTATGGTACACAGCTTTGGAACTTATAAATCTAAGTTATCCGTTCTCCCAGCATATTGCATTTACCACCTGTATTCCAAATGTTATTTTCTGAAAGAAATCTCACTAACATGCATTAGAATGACTCAATGAAACACTGCCTTCACCATCTGGCTTGGAAGGTAATTTCACAGATTAGCCACTTGCTTGCGATGTTTCTGAAATTAACTTTAAGTTTATGCCTCCTTCCAGTGAAAGCTCTGTTCTCTGGATCGATTGTGTTCTGAATAAAGTGGAACAGCTTATCATTGGCTACACTGTATGGTCCCTTCAAAATCTTAAAAACAATACGCAACACTTTTCAGCCTTCACTTCTTGAGCGACAACATGCTCAGTGTCTTACAGTAACATCCCTCCCCACACTCAGTCATTTTGGTTGCTCTTTTCTGTAATATTTTAAAAGTTGTGGTATTCCATTTATTCTGTCATGAGTAGAACATCACATAGCATTTGAGCACAGTTGTACTAATAACCAACATGGAACTATTATAGCACTCTTTTATCTCACCACAGCCCATTTAATGTTTAATTCAGGAGTCTGATGGAATATTCCCCACTTGGCTGGATGGCTGCAGTTCAAGAAGCTCGACACCATCCAGGCAAAGCAGCCCGCTTGATTGGCGGTGCATCTGCAAACATCCACTCCCTCCACCATCGATGCTCAGTAGCAGCAATGCGTACTATCTACAAGAATCTGTGCAAAAATTCGCTGAATATCCTTAGACAGTACCTTCCAAACCCATGATCACTTCTATCTAGAAGAAGGGCAGCAGATACATGGGAACACCACTGACTGCAAATTTCCCTCCAAGCCATTCCGACATGGAAATAAATCGCCATTCCTTCCGTGACGTGGAATCAAAATCCTGGAATTCCTTCCCTAGTGACATTTGGATCTATCTACAGCAGGTGGACTGCAGCAGTTCAAGAAGGCAGCTCACCACCAACTGTTCAAAGGCAACTACGAACAGGCAGTAAATGTTACCCAGTAAATGATGCCCACATCCCACAAGTAAATAAAAAACAATACAACTCCTCTGCCACTTCTTCGTTCCTCATCATTATTTCCCAGCCTTGTTCTTTAATGGGTCTATGTTCACTTTGGCTTCTATCTTCCTTTTTTACGTATTTAACTAAGCTTTTACAGTCTGATTTAAATCACTTATTTGTTTGACTTCATTGTTTGTTTTCTCCCTTTTTTTGGATAATCTTTTGTTGATTTTTAAATACTTTCTAATCCTCTATTTTACCACTAGTTTTTGCTACTTTGTATGTATTTTCTTTTAATTTCATACAATCTTTAACTTCCTCAACCAAACATGGTTGGTTTATTCCCTTCCTAGTATTCTTCTTCTGCATCGTGATATATGTTTGCTGAACTATTTTCTTAAATGTTTGCCATAAACAACCTGTCATTATCACAGTGGGGTCTATACGTTCACAGTTGTGTCTGACAGCTCAAGAGATTGTTAAGGGATTAGCATACTTTTATGTGGCCTTAAAAATACAAATGCTAGGTTTTTTTCACAAGTAATTAAGTACTTGAAGGGATTTAAATGCATTGAAAGGGCCTTTATGAGAGCTTTTTCACATAGTGAAAGCTGCGACAGATACTTAAAATTCAACTTTATTTTATCTGATTATTGTGCCTGAGGTCTACTCATATTTATTGAGCTGTCATGGAGATTTAAGGACAAGGAGAAATGGGTAGGGACGTGTGCTGTCATGACTTGCCACTAAATTTATATTGGGGCAATAAGGGCCTCTAGGGATGGGTGAAGGGACATTGATTGACATGAATTGACACAAAGTTGGAACGACACAGGGCCACGGAGATGAGTGGAACAGCATAAGTTTATGTAGTTACCATTAATACAATCCCTTAATGTAGGGAAGGATTTTATTAAATTTAACATAATCCTTACAATGAAAAAGCAAGTGTGAAATGATATAATCAAAGCATTATTCACAGTTTGCGCCATGACTTCTCGTGGAACTGGAAGTCATACCTGCCTTCTTAACGGTTAGTGCTGAGACAAAAGTAAAATCAGATAGTCAAATCAATCTATAATGAGCATCTTTAGGACTGACTTCATTTTCCAGACAGGTAGTCTCCAGTTCAAGTTTGAATTATTAACATTTTGTCGGGTCTGTCTGACATTAGCTGGTCATTATACAACTGGCCTCATTTTGCAGCAATCTTTAAGACAGACTTGACTGTAATTTGATCATTTGATTGCGGCTTTTAGTATAATGCTTCCTACTTAGTTCATTAAATCACTGTACTTACGCCAAACATTTGCCTGAGGTCTGGGTCTCGGAATCTGAATGGAATATTGGAGACATGGAGCCGTTTGGGTTGTGTTTTGTTATCTGTGTTTTCAGTAGATTGTGTTTGTTGCTGTCCATCAGTCTGCGCTGCATCATCTGTCTGCTAAAATAGGGGAACACACAAAAAAAAGGCAATTAAACTACAGCACTTAAGGTTATTCGCCACATAGATTGTGCTTAGATTTGTTGAATTAAATTCTTTTGTCAGAATTCAGATACGTGTCATCTTTTCTTTGCCAGTCATATCCTGCAACTAACAATAAGCTAATAACCCGGTCAATTTTTATAGGATAACTTAACATAGGTATGTAAGCAGATGATCTGGATAAGTCTCAAAACTTAGAAATTTCCACAGGATATTTAAAATCTGACTAATCTACAGGAAAAAGCAGATGAGGCCACAGTATAATATTTTGTTTGAAGAGGTGCACCTCCAACACATATACCTCAATAATTTTATGCACAAGAATATTAGTTCAAGACATATGTTGGCTTCAACTTCCTGCTCTGAGAGAGGAAGTGGTGCTAAGCTGATATGTACAAAATTTATATATAGTAGCAGCCAGGTCACTTGCGCTCAAGATATTTAATCCATCAACACTTGCCACTAATTTATCCTTAAGAACACAATTAATATACTATTAACAAATTATATACGCAGTAACAGTACGTTACCCCAAACTAAACCCAAGGGACTGAAATACTTCCCTCAATTCTCACTCTCTGTTTTTCCCCTTCCCTGGAATAATCTATTGCTTTCCCTCTAATTCCATACCCTTAACCTTCATAAATCATCTCCATGTGGTTCCTTCGACTATAATGAAGTCTTTGTGAAATATATCCACATTATTTCTTCTCATCTACTATGTCAATAGCTTTGTCAAAGTTCTTTTAGGGTTGTCAAGCACTATTGCCTTTGCACTGCTACTTCTCATTATTTTTCCTTTATCTCGATATGTGATAATTTCATTCTTAGCTCCAAGTCTGCCTTGGAGAGGGTATTAAATTCTGTGTACCCTTCACCCCAAAACTTAAAAGGCTTAGGCACGGGCTGTGTTTACTCCCACAGAAGGTTTATTTCCATTTCTGGAGCTTTTGGTTTAGGATGTTCTAGGTTTCTGGTCTTAGTCTTCTGTTTAGTAACTTCTACACTGGACTATCTTTCATTCCTTCTGTAGCACTATTTCTTTTGTAGAAAATCTCAAAACTGAGGTTTGCCTGAGCTGTCTTTTTGCTCCTCATTAGAGATAGTGCTGCTCAGATTGCATTTTTCTGTTTTTCTAATGCTATGAGGCTATCTTGTGATTGAAGTTACATGATTGAAATTCCATTCTCCCGTGAAACCTGTTAAATTCTTCAGTAGTAAACTAATGCCATTATCTGAAAAACGGATATTCAGTTTTTCTAATCTTGCAAATCAACTTTCAAGTTTCCTCATAACAGCTTTCCTATTGTGCTGTCCAAATAGCCAATTTCCAGTAATTTAAATAAAAATTGATGGTAATCAGGCAGTCATTACAATCAAAGGCAAACAATTCAATTCTATCATTTAATTCTGGTCAATCAGCTGTTTCATGACAAATCAGCTGTCTAGTTTCACCTACAGCCAGCTCTATCTGTTCAACTGTCTTCTAGACAGTTCATGGCCAAGGAAGTGATTAAATTTAAACTGACAGGACAGACTAGATACACTCATTAGTAATGTCGAGGGCAGCACATAATATTTGGATCTAAGATTTTTTTCCCTTGAGCTCCTCAATCTTGAACAGGGGGGAAGTCTCACATAGGGCTTTGTGGACAAATATAAAGGTACTGAAGATATATGTAGCATGCATGAGAAAATATAGGGAAGTGTCCAAGATTTCAATTCCGGGTGGGGAACCCAGCTAGTGGTTTAATTCTGGGACACAACCTCATGCCTTTTTCCAGGCTTGCCTACCTGCAATTTTAAAAGGGGTGCAGCAGGGCACGGGCTCATTGTGCCAGACCCATTAGGTTAGAGGGCCAATGTGAGCCCACCCAGTGATAGACTGGTAGCCTCATCTGGAGAAGAGGGAGCTGCAGGTTCAAGATGGCAAGAGGGTGTCTCACAGAGTCATACAGTAATACTCCCTGGAAACAGACCCTTCATTCCAACCAGTTCATTTCAGCCATGTTCCCAAACTAAACTAGTCCCACCTGCCTGTGTTTGGCCCATATCCCTCCAAACCATGCCTATTCATGAACTTATCCAAATGTCTTCTAAATATTGTAACTGTACCTTCATCCACCACTTTCTCTGGCAGTTCATTCCACACATGAACCACTCTCTGTGTAAAAAAATTGCCCTTCCATCCCTTTTTAAAACTTTCTCCTCTCACCTTCAAAATATGCCCCTAGTTTTCAATTCCTTCACCCTAGGGAAAAGACCCTTGACATTCACCTTATCTATGCCCCTTATAATTTTATAAACCTGACTAAGGTCACCTTCAACCTCCTCTGCTCCAGTGAAAAAACTCCCAGTCTTTCCAGGATATTTTTATATCTCAAACCCTCCATTCCTGGCAACATCCTGGTAAATCTTTTCTGAACCTTCCCCACTTGAATAATATCCTTCCTATAACAGGATAACCAGAATTGCACACAGTACTCCAGAACAGGCCTCAATAATGTCCTGTCCAACCTCAAAATGACATCCCAACTCCTATACTCAAATGAGAGATTTGCCGATGCTGGAGTCAGAGATGACACAGTGTGGAACTGGAGGAGCGGAGCAGGAATGCTGACGTTTCGGGTTGGGACCTGTGTTCCTCCAGCTCCACACTGTGTTATCCTATACTCAAATGTCTGAGCAATGAAGGCAACTGTGCTAAATGCCTTCTTAACACCCTGTCTACCTGTGTCTCAACATGGAGGCATGCATTTAGAATGAGGTCAGGTATTTTTTAAAAAATTAAAATGGCCACCAAAATTTTCTGATGTCTCACTGGAGATACTGGTGCCAGGAATAGAGAAGGAAGAGATTTGGTTATCCACAGGTGATCAATGGACAGGCACATGGATCCAATAATCATGAAGGTCAATGCCAGCAGTCTAGACATGGCGAGCTGGATGCAGTACTGCAAAAAGTTCCATTACCTCAGATGAATGGTCAATTTAAGTGGAAGTATCTTCAAACTCTACTTCTCACTAACTGTACCAGTAACCTTGCACATGACTCAACATATCATACAGCCATCATTCACTTACCACCAGTCTCTATCAGTCAGGACATCTACTTAACATGGATAAATTCACCTCCTTTACACATTTAGCACTGCTGTTACCTCACACTATCACTACTTGCACATGCATACACACCCAGCTATTCAACCTTGACTGAAGTTCAGCCAAACAGATAACACTGCATCCACTGACATACTTTCCTCTCTTTTGCAGAACTCAAGGCAGCAGGAACTATTGGAATGGGTCAAGTATGCCTGTATAACCTAATCCACATAGTAGCTTTGGTACTGGCTATTACTTTAACAGCTTATGCTAGGTCCATGACCACTGGCTGAGTTGAAATCATTGAAGATGACAGCATCTTCAAACTTAATCCTTCTTATGACAGGCCATTCCCCCTTTATCCATCACTCTGTTCTACTTTATAATGTCACAAATGGAATAATCATGACCCTTTTACTTCCTTACCGAATCCTCCACCCCATAGAAACAACTTTAGATTGCACTTTTTACTATTCAGATACCGAAAAATCTACAACATTGTCAGGCAGTGGAGGAAAATCGAGAAAAGAATAATGGTCCCAGAGACACCGTCTTAAAATTTCACTCTCAGCGGCCAGCTCAGACTCTGCAACTGTTTGTGACTTAAAAGGATTGATGAGAGGCAGGGCCTGCATGTGGTGAGATGCTAGTCATGTGTATGATATAGCCAGAATGCAGGGTAACATGTGAGAATTCACGAGACAGCAAGGCCACAATTGAGTTCTCCTGCAGATGACTCAGTCAAGATCCTCAACAGGGCAGGCTACTGAAGAAGGTTGCAAGGGACACACAATGAAATGCTTAGCACTTTGGGAAGCCACAAGAGCCCTAATCCTCCAATTTCAGATACTTTATGACACATTTCTGGAGTAAGTGGTACTTGAACCCAGGCCTTCTTACCCAGCGGTATGGACATGACCACTGTATCAAAAAAACCTTTTTCTCCTAACTTACAAAAGAAAATGGTGCGATGATATCAGGTCAGCAGTCTGACCTCATGGTGTCAATCTCCAATATTATGATTGGCAAGCAGCTACTAAAACAAGAAGCCCAGCTGCCATTCTGTAACAACCAACAAGAAATTATTGAGTTTATTTAAGATACAAGTGTAGATATTCTTTAACTGACCTGCTCAGAGATGTTACTACTCAACTCTAGAGCATTTGGGGCTTGAACCCAGGCCTCGTGGATAAGATTTAGGGACACTACCACTGCACAACAATAGCCCTTTCTTCCTTATTATACTGAGTCTCAGAGCCTACTTGGTTAACCATGCTAGAGGATGATCACTCATGAGTGTTATTCAGACTGCACACATATATTTGGGTATTAACTACCTTTATGTATAGGTTACAGTGGTTAGTTTGACATATTAACTAAAACGATCAGGAGGCAATGATGGCATGTCTGTTTCCATCAGGATCTCAAAGTAGACACCTTATTTCTTGACCAAAGAATGTATGACAGCTTCAGATTGGATGAGCTTAACGTCACCTCCAACATTACCCTATACAAAACGTACCACACCCCAATGAACTCTTCAGAGATAAGCAGACAGACAGGGGCTGTCCAGTTTACCTCACCCTTTACTTTTCCTTCTTAGCTTCTCACTTGAAAGGAGATGGCAAAGCAGTTTCCAAAATCCTGGAGCTCCTACTCTAAGTGCACTGTAAGTGTATTAACATCACATGGACTGCAATGGTTTAAGAAGCCAGCTCATCATCGTCTTCTCATGGGCACTAATGTACTGGTGGTTAGCAATACACACATCATGCGAGTAAATTAGAATAAATTATTGATAGTTGACTGAAGGTAGGGTGATAAATTGAGCAGTGAGTTGAGTGGTTCAGATACAAA